CTCCAACTCAAAAAAAAAAAAAAAATATTTTTTGTAAAGACAAGGTCTCTCTATGTTACCCAGGCTGATCTTGAACTCCTGGGCTTAAGCTGATCCACCCACCTCGGCCTTCCAAAGTGATGGGATTACAGATGTGAGTCACCACACCTGATCCTAAAAATATCTTAGTACATTTAAAGATGACTGAACTTTCACCAAGATGCTCTTCTTTGACTTCCCTGGTTTCCCCCTTCTCTAGGAGGGAGCATTGGCTGGTTCTCTTGTAAGCCGTGTGACAGCCAAGCCACCACTAGGCACCCAGGTCCAAACCAGGTGTGACACTCAAATGAACCTGCTGGATGAGGAGGGTATCTGCAAGCTGCCAGGAAGACTCCGTAAGTAGAGGGGAGGAGAAAATCTGCTTGTTTAAAATTAAAATTTTAACTGACAAATTATATTAAAAATTATAATTTCATATATTTGTATGGTATAAAGTTATATTATGGTATATGTATACAGTGTGGAATGACTGACTCAAGCAACTTAGCACATCCATCACCTTAAATACTTGACATTTATTCCTCCTGTCTAACTACAGCTTTGTACTTTCTGCTTCCATGAACTCTGTTATGTTCGATTCCATCTGTAAGTGAGAACATGCGGTATTTGTCTTTCTGTGCCCAGCTTATTTCATTTAGTATCACTTCCTCCAGAATTATCCATATTGTCACAAATTAGAAATGCTCATTATTTATTTGTTTTTGAGTTGGAGTCTTACTCCATCATCCAGCCTCCACCTGCTGGGCTCAGGCAATCCTTCCAAGGAGCTGGAATTATAGGTATGCGTCACCAAGTCCAGCTCATTTTTTAATTTATTATAGAGACAGGATCTTGCCTAGTCTGGTCTTGAATTTGATTTCTCAGGCAATCCTCCCTCCTCCACCTTCCCAAGTGTTGGGATTACAGGCGTGAGCCACCACATCCGGCTAAACTGTGCTTTTTTTTTTTTTTTTTTGAGTTGGAGTCTCACTCCATCGCCCAGACTGGGAGTGCAGTG